AATTTATGATTCAGTCTACAACATATCTCCGATCATTCCAATGTAAGTTCAAAAAACCTAATACTCAAAGACGACAGATGCCTACAGAACAAAATTTTAGAACTTAATCAAACAATTATAATTGATATTTGTGTTTAAAATGCAATTATAGAGAATCAAACAGGCCCTAGATAGAGCTTCCTACAATCCAAACACCAATAATGCTGTCATTGGGCAGTGTGCCAATTTGATAATTAAAAAAAAACCACTACAATTTATTCCCACAATCACAGGGATAAGATTCGGCACATATCTGCTGACTATATCTATACATCTATGGATGATTAGGTCAAGTGGTTACTGTATTGAATTTGTATGTACTGGTTTTGGAGTTTGAGAAGACTCAGGGAATAGTCGTTTGCATTTTGTTCAAAAGTTATGTGGAGGAGAATACAGTGACGAATATTTAATTAAAGAATTCAATAGAAGCTATTGTTCTGTTTTTTATATTGGAATCATTATAAATAATAGTTATTGAAAGATGGTGGCTGACGCACCTCTAAAGGATAACATCTCCAATAAGTAATAAATTGGGTAGATTACTCATTACAAGCCTCTCCATCAATGCCATCATTAGCACTTAATCATTGCTTAACTTGTTTATAAGTGGACACCTCTTTCAATTAGCGAGGGAGAGACAAGTTACGCGCAGTTTAAAGCTCGTTTGGTTAGAAATTCTTTCTCTTGAAAGTCTGTCAAAAAGTGACACTTTTGACATTTTTGACAGGTTTTTAAGATAGTCTTTCCCTCAAAAACAGGGAACCAAACAGCCTCTTACATTTCTCAAGGGCAATTTGAAATATTAGCCTAGATCTGTGTTTGAGAGATAACACGGTCGCTAAACAATGTGATGGTGCTCAGCTTGAACCAACTCATGTTGCATATAACCAGACATCTCTACCTCTACTTAGCAAACAAAATGAGAAGCTTTTGCTGATGCATCAGTGTTCATGTTATGGCAGTAGTTGGCACTTGGCAGGCTTCACAGCTGAAAAAAGATTTTAGAATATATAACAATCTCTGTTGCTGCTGTTGCTGTATCTTGCCCCTTGACTGAGTCAACCGTTTCTGTTTACCATCAGTCCCATCTTAATGTAATTATGTACTATATATTGTTAGATTTTCCATGGGGGAATAAGATTGATGTGACTGTATTTATATCTGATCCATCCATGCAAATAACCCTTTTTTTTATCTGGAGATTTGACGCTGACGGGTCAGTCAGCACTATACACAGGGCATTATTCATTAGTAATCAGCATTTACCCTCTCCTATTACCCCATACTATTACCCGTACTAGGAAGTACGATCTCTATTTTTTTTTATTTTTGTTATATTAATTCTATATTAAAATACAGTTTTTGTAAGTGTTACAGTAACTATTTTTTAGCATCTCGTTGAGCTACAGTAATAATGCTACAATATCCTAATGAACAACAATAATAATGCTACAGTGATAATTTACTATAGCATAAATAGTAAATCTTGGATCCTCCCATTATTATAGAGGAATAGATATACATGTACACCCCACAAGTTCATGCATCATGTTTTAGTAAAATGTTATGGCCTTGATAAATCACAACAGACAACATTCTCAACACGCATAATGAGTCAAAGAGGTCAAGAAGCAACGTGTTCTTCATAAAATCATGAAAATTATAAGGATACTTGCTAAATTAAATTTCATATCTAAGGTCATGATCGGCAATTTAGACATCATCATTCTATACAACTGCTTTAGCTTCTAGTGCTCTGTCGAGCCATTTGATCACAGAGAACAAAATCAATAGAATCTAAAGCATGAAGATCGTGAAAAACTGAAAGCGCCCGAGTACCTACCAGTTTCAGTTATATTCAGAAGAAGTGAAATCTACTCTTGCTGCTCAACCTCGTAGCTTTGAGCTACCTAGCATTAGCCCCTAATCTCTGGATTTATCTCTACGTGATAAGCATTGTACAGAGCAAAAATATCGACAAACCTTAATCATGCCAACTGAATATAGGCAGTGATGACACGAAAGCGAAAAAGTACATGTTATTTGAACAAACCTTAATCATGCCAACTGAATATAGGCAGTGATGACACGAAAGCGAAAAAGTACATGTTATTTGGGGTTCTAAGATAAGATTAGCATTTTAAAGTACATGTTATTTGGGGTTCTAAGATAAGATTAGCATTTTTTCCCCCTTCTTTTTTAACTATCAAGAGAAAAAAAAAATCTTAAAACTGTTGAAACAATGTAAAATAACAGCGAAGCTGCAGACGGAAATAAATAAAGAGATGAGGAAGTACAATAGTTCATCAAAACACGACGTATTGTATTTAGTTATGCAAATAACCAATGAAAGGATTATATGTAGGTAAAAAGGAATCTAAAAGCTAAAATAAAACTTGCGAGGAAAATGATCACCAGAACCTTTAAATAAGGAGTAACAACACACAAAACACTGAGAATCAATCAAAAATATTAATAAACAACTAAGTCCTTGTTAAATCTGATATCACTAATCTATTTAATCATCATTAAGAGCCTTGGTCCAACTTCAAATAAAGGGAATGAAACATCATAATTAATATACATATATAATTGTATCAGAGGACCGATAACCTATTAACAGGAACAAAGTAATGTAACACAAGTAAATGAATCCTCGCGTAATCCGTCCTGTTACAGATAGACTGAAAAATGAGCAGTAAGTGGCATGCTGTTTCTCATTTTAACACCGAAAATAAAAACTGACTTCTTTCTATAAGTTGAATAGAAGAAATTAAAAAAAAATCATGATTACACATGAGGAACCACGCATGAAACTTTTACTACGCAAGACGCTGGCCTCTATGTATAAAGAAGAAAATCCATATAAAGGTGATCAGAGTCTGGCACTATTTAGATATCAAGATTGGAATTGGACATTATAGATGCAGGAATGAAACATCATAATTAATATACATAATTGTATCAGAGGACCGATAACCTATTAACAGGAACAAAGTAATGTAACACAAGTAAATGAATCCTCGCGTAATCCGTCCTGTTACAGATAGACTGAAAAATGAGCAGTAAGTGGCATGCTGTTTCTCATTTTAACACCGAAAATAAAAACTGACTTCTTTCTATAAGTTGAATAGAAGAAATTAAAAAAAAATCATGATTACACATGAGGAACCACGCATGAAACTTTTACTACGCAAGACGCTGGCCTCTATGTATAAAGAAGAAAATCCATATAAAGGTGATCAGACTCTGGCACTATTTAGATATCAAGATTGGAATTAGACATTATAGATGCAGGGCATGTTTTCCTATTACATGCTGTACTGAGACAAATTCTTGTTTCTACACCCCTTTCTGGGGTGCAAAGTTAATTAGTTCAGGGTCTTATCCTTAAGAAAGGTGTCCAAGATTAGTAATGTACTTCAGATACTTAACTATGCCGAAAATGCTTTATCAACTGTTAATGATATGAGATTCTCTCAACATTACCTCTTAATTTGAAAATACTGTGCCAAAATGCGGATTCTGATATATTACGATAACTGTCTGTCTTCAAGAAGAGTGCTGCTGCCTTCAAAGGAAGGTCATCTGTTTACATAGCCTCTACCCAGTATAAGTACACATTTAAGGAAATGTCCGAATTAATCATCAAGAAGACATTCTAATAAACAAACAAGTGTATTACTTTACCATAGAATATCAACATTCAGCATCAAACACATCAGGAAGCTGGTTACACATGATAGTTTCCTAGGCACATATATCAATGCTCAATATTTTCATCTACGGGCAACATTCTGCATTATGCTGCATCAGCAGCTGTAGATTAAAAAGAAGGCCTAGTTGCATGCTTCTTCCCCTCTCAACACATAAAAGAAAATGTACGTGGTGGAATATAAAAATAGCTTGGATGTGTAAAAAATTA